AAAACCGGTGATGCAAAACCCCTCATATAAAAAAAAACTTGTGGCACGGGAATCAATGAATGTGAAATTGAACAGGGTGCTCCGTTTAAAATTTTTGAGAAATAGTTCATTTTGCGTTTTTGACCACCCTGTATAAACTGTTCAAAAAACAAAGACACTAAGTGGATATGAACAAAATGTTCACATCATAACGCTTTATAATGAAGTACCTCAGACATTAAATTCAATAAATTACAGTGACTTTAAAAAACAAATTAAACAATGCATTTTAGAAAAGTACTCACCTAAATAATTTGACCCCTCACTTCGCAAAATTCTTTCCTTTTCTGTGTACATTCACATGTATAATTAAGTTATATTATTTACTGTTAGTATACATAGGTATATTTTTTTACATATTTATAATCGTTATTGTATTTTTTTTCTTTTAAATTTTCAAGCTACACTTCGCCCTTTAATAAAGAAACGTTTATTATTATTATTATTATTATTATTATTATTATTCTTTTAACGAAACCCTATAATATGTTATATCAAATTGCTTGCTCTGTAATTTGAAATAAAACGTAATGCTTTCTACTTAAAAGGATGGAAGTTGAATCACCGCTTAGTTATGAACCACCCTGTAGAAATAAAAATGTTTTATCTTGAGAAGCAAACTGTTGACATACTAAATTTTTAATTATATACAAGGAAATAGAAAAAGGTGCGTCACTTGAATTTTAAGCTCCCAAGACATTTTCTCATCAATTCTAAACATTATGTAGTAAAATATTGATGTAACCAAGTTGAAAATCCTTGAAACTGTCACATAATCGCAAAAAACAAATGTTTTGGATAAATAACAAAATATAACTTAAGAACCAAAAGAAGCGCAATCTATCTATTTTGCTGGCCAATTAGAGTCATTGTGTTTTGTGTACATAGTCAAACACGTCAATATTCAGCTTAAAATACATATGTTGATTCTTATAAAAAACAAAAAAGTGGAATATGCTGCAAATTTTCAACAAACGATATTAAAGATTTGGTGTGTTTCCATAAGAACTGGATTTAGAACTTTTGTACCTTCAAATGTGAATAGGCCCGAGACCGTACTACCTCCCATTTCGCCATGTCTATTTAAGTCCGGAACCCCCTGTATACTAAACAGAAATGTCAAGGTGTATTTTATATCTTTTATAACATGCCCGCGATGGCATAGAAATGCTAAAAAACATACCATTTTTATTGTGAAAACATACAACTATTATCGTTTCCAGCATACAGAATGAGTAACTAACACATTTTTTTGTGTGTGTGCACCATTTTTATGTTTAATTGCAATGGTGAATAATTGAACAAACGAGCTACCATAAAAATTTAATTCACACAATCAATAACATTCCAACATGCCAGTATTGCTTTATCAAAGATAAACAACACAAATAAAGCCTCACTAACAGAAACCCTTTTTTCGCTAGACTGCCTTCATATAATTCACTCGAAATCCATCAAACGTTTCCTTTGATTGCCGCACTGAAAATAATCCGCGGATTGGAAGGTTCTGAAAGCCCTTCAATGCAGTCGTTACATCAATGAAAAAAGGGATCATATATAGGGAGACAAGGAAACTGCATTAGTAAAAATGTGGCGGGGTAAAGCAGGAGAAATCCAGATGCGATGGCAGCTTTGCTTTATTGATGAGTTAGACAATGAGAGAGACTCGATAAAAGGCGTTTTAGTGATTTCTTTAGTTAATCGTGGTTCGATGATTTCCATAGGGAATACGGACATCAAAAACGGATCGGTTTCACACTTTAACATAATATTGCTTTTTAAAGTTGTTTCCGTCGTACTGAGTTTTTATTATCTTTATTTTATGCCAGCGAAATGTAGATATACGAGGTTTGTTAAAAAAGTATCGCGAATTTCAGGTTTTTTCAAGAATTATTTACTTATCCATAAATATAATAATAATAATAATAATAATAATACAATGTCTTTATTAGGCACATTATATAAACTACAATATAATGTGACCTCTACGTAGGCGAAGTCTAGCTCTTGGCTACTCTACTTAACCTACCCAAATAATAAATTGAAATACTTAATCAAAGGAAACTTTGACAAGCAGCAAAAGACGCTTCAAAACAATGAGCTTGATAGCTTCCTGACATACATAATATATACACACATATATTACGTAAAAATAAAATAAAATATGAGAATTAAAAACTAACTTTTCCACAGTTACTACAATGACAAATAAATCTGTTTCACATGCTTACGAAATCTGTTTACTGGCCACTCCTTTATATTGTCATCTAATTCGTTATAAATCAGGATAGCATTGTAAGTGTATGAACTACGAAATAAAGTTGTTTTATACATAGGGATCTCTAGACTTTTTTGTGTCTGAAATCAATGTCTAAATTATTTCGTCTGAAAACAAATTTCTCATAAAGATACAAGGGGGAACGAGAAGATATGATCTTATGTGTAAACACTGCTATATGGTACTTGCAAGCATTTTCTATACACATCCAACCAAGATGAAATCTCTTCAAGGAAATATGATCATACTTCTTGAGATTAAATACAAATCGACAACAAGTATTTTGGAGTTTTTGGAGTCTTGCTTTTGTGATAGAATCAAGACAATGATAGAACACAGTGCTACAGTAAAATAAGCTTGGAAATATAATAGCCTCACATAACTTTTTTCTAACTTTAAAATTCAAAATAGAGCGATTGACATAAAAACACTTCAAAGTTGCATAACATTTTTTTAAGATAGACGAAACATGCTCCTTAAACCGTAAAGTAAAATCAATAATCAACCCTAAATTTTTTGTAGTATTTACGACAGCTAGACGCTCCTTGTCGACTTTTACATCAAGAGAATTCAATATAGTGTTTGTTACGTTTGACAGCAGAACAAAAAAGCATCACTGAGCACTTATCCTTATTGAGCTTAAGATTGTTACCATTTGAGTATCCTACTATCGCCTTCAAATCATCATTAAGCTCATTGATTGAATTATGTAAAGTGTTACTATTAAAGCTCTTATATATCTGTGTATCATCGACATAGGACATCACAGAAGAGTTTTTCACAGAGCTACCCATGTCTATAGTATAAATTAAGTACAACAAGCGCCCTAAAACTGAACCCTGAGGGACACCTGATGTTATATCAATCGGACTAGATATAGTGTTGTCTATCTCTACTACTTGTTTACGATTTTAAAGATATGTTATAAAAAACATTAGAGATATGTCTGAAAAAACAAAAAACTTCAATTTAGCACATAAAAGCTCATGATCTATTTTATCGAACGCCTTAGAATAATCTAATGATACAAGTGCTGAAGCATCTCCCTTATCAAGCGAAGCAATGATGTCATCTAAAACCCTTGCTAAAGCTGTAGCTGTACTAAAACCACTGCGGAAACCAGATTGACACTTGGGAAAGAAATCATTATTAGAGAAATAATGATAAACCTGATGTTTAATCAATTTCTCCAATATCTTCGATATAACAGGAATCAAAGTTATAGGTCTTAAGTCTGAGAGACATTTTGGATTTTTACATTTAGGCAAAGGCTTGACAAGAGATAGTTTCCAAGCATCAGGATAATACCCAGCCTCCAGGCAACAGTTCAATAAATGCGTCAATGGTAGTAGTACTCGAGGCAAGCAATGCTTAAGCATTGAGACTGTTATACCATCCGAACCTGCTGCATTAGATTTTAGGGACAGAATAATGTCTAGCACATTTTGTGGGGTAGCAAAACTAAATTCAAATCTAGCACTTTCATTAATTTTGGTACTATTAAATTTATCAACTAGATCCTTGCAATTGCCCGAAGGTGTGAAAACGGAAGAAAAATAATTGTTTACTTCATCGGCATTTTTCAACTGCGTAGGTAAAGATCTATCTACATTAGTTTTGAGTTTCAATGAATGTACAGCTTTCCAGAGATGCTTGTTACTATTTAGTTGTTCATTGAAGCTTAGATTGCTGCTTTCTCCCGCCTAATAGCGGAAATGACATCATTTCTTAATTTCTGGTAATATTCGAGACTAGCTGGACTTTTTAAAATCTGATACTTTCTGAAGGCTTTATCTCTCTCAGAGATCAAAAATTTTATGCCACCTGTGAGCCATGGAGCATAAGGTTTAGTAATACGTGCTGAAACAACAGGAGCATGGACATCAAAGAAATCCAAAATATGATTAGAAAAAAACGTAGCTTTATGCTCTAAGTTACTGATGTAATATATATCATCCCAAGTCACATCTGACTACATTATGATCTGACAAATTCGGAACAGGTGCAGAGCTAGTTGAAATTAATGATTCAGCTAAGTTATTTGTTGTACAAATGACATCTATGGAGGTTGCCGTGGTTAAAGTTATCCTAGTTGGTTGGGTGAAGTGAGATACCATATCGTAGCACGTAATGCAATCTAGAAAACAATGGTCAGTAAGTTGATCAACGTTTATATCACCCAGCAAGCATATATGATCATACTGAGGAGACACAAATGAGAGAAAGTTGTCTATATGATCAATAAAACTTGATAATCTGCTCGAAGGAGCTCTGTAGATAATACAAACCAAAATTTTTAGATTATTCAACACTATTTCAGCACAAACCTGCTCCATACCATCTGGACATAAAAAATCTTGCAATACCAGCTTACCTCTCAGTGAATCCCTTAAATAAACAGCAACTCCTCCTCCACATCCTACTCGATCAGTATGGAAAAAAGTGTACTCAGGAATATTTACTATATCTGCTGCAAAATCATTATTAACCCATGTTTCGGAGATACTCATAATATCATAGTTATCAGTAGTCAACAAATCTACAAAGGAATCAAAGCCAGCAAACAGAGATCTTACATTCAGGTGTCCAACAACAAAATGGTTATAACTTTTTGTGCAATTATTCATAAGCAATCTGCATTTGGGTTAAGTTGAAAAACGCTTTTTAGCAACACTTCGCCTTTTTATACTTTGTATAAATAAAGCCGGATTATTATTATTATTATTATTATTATTTTCAAATTATCGATCTTCATGTTGTAATAACTGCAAGAGGTATCACTTGCAACATGCTTTGTACACCAGTTAGTTTTATATCTATCATTATGAAACTTACAGTTAGGACAACAAGAATCATCAGTTTTACAATCTCTAAATTCATGAAAACCTGAGCACTTAGAACAGACAACATTCTTGCTTCGGCAATCTTTCTTACCATGACCAAATTTACAACATTTGTAACAACGTAGCAAATATAAATTTTCCCTCACAGTACATCTCACCCAGCCAATAAAAACAAACCCTTTGCTACTAAGTAATTTGAACATAGAAGGAACCACCTCGATAACAACATTTTTTGTATTTTTAACCTTATAGCAACTAATTATTTTTATATAATCTGAATTAACACCTAAATTGTTATTGAATATTAAGTCGTCAACAAAACTATCAACAAATTCAAGTTTATCTGGACCAGGATTTTTGAAACAGTCGTTAGGTACACCCTGTATCAACATTCTAGGAAACATTTTGGTAGGCTCACAAATATCGAACTTACTTCCTAAATCAGATTTTAGAGAATCTTTTAGAGCATCCACATCTTTTTTGCTATTACAGCTGATCATCAGACCATTTTTGGTGAGTTTAGTCTTGTTGATATTGACATTAAGAGCACCAGGCGAATAACGAGATTTAAAATCATTTTCGACAGTTTTGTACGAAGTAGAACGATCTGCAGGCTTAATCAACAAATATGAATGGTCCACTTTTTTCACGATAGCACTGTACGAAACACAATCTTTGTTTTTGCTGCTGTTGCCCACTGGCTGACTTCGAAATTTATCTTCAATGTCACTTATGAGTTTTTTCTGAATTTCCACAATATAACCTCTCTCGTTTGCGATTTTATCGATCAAATTTTTTTCTCTTACCAGGCACTCAATTTCTTTTTACAATACAGCTAAAGCACTTTCGGGCACACTAGCACTGCTCCTTGACGCCCGTGAACCAGGCACTCTAACTTCAGACTTTTCAGGTTTTCGATTAAATACTGCTTCCCCAAAATCTGCCATTTTCAGCTTGCCATTTATCATTGGAAGACAATCGCTGCAGAACCATTTGATTCCCGCACAATCACGCTTAACTTTAGCTAAGTTGTCGTCGACCTCAGCACAATGATGATGAAACAACTTTTTGCAAAAATCGCAAGAAATATTCTTGGTATTCACAATGAAATTATCTGAGCATCGAGCACACGCCTGTATGCCGGACGCCATCTTTTTCCGATATCTATTTTGTCCCCTTCAAAGTGATCCCCATCAGACATTATACACTTGTGATAACGTTTTTTCCAATCCTCGAAGCATTTTGAAAAATCATCTTTTGTGATCTTGTTCAGGTCCTCCTTCGATGCCGTCTTTATCTCCTCAATCGTGGCGCAGCGTCGTCCTTTCATGGGCCTCTTCAGTTTCGGGAACAAGAAAAAGTCTCGGAGGGCCAGGTCTGAGGAATATGGTGGGTGAGGCATGATTGTAGTGTTGTTTTTGGCAAAAAATTCGCGCACAAGTAACGATGCATGAGCAGGGGCGTTACCATGGTGCAAAACCCAATTTTTGTTCTTCCACAAATCCGGGCGTTTCTGGCGGATTGCTTCTCGCAAATTCCGCATTACTTGAAGGTGATAAACATAATGCCATAAAAAGATCGAAAATCGAGCATACGTAGCCCGCGAAAATTCAAAAATTGCGATACTTTTTGAACAAACCTCGTAGTTCGAAGATCGTCTCTATCTGTATTCTCTTGAGAAAGTTAGTTGAGTAGTGAAGCAAATTTTGAAAGAAAACATATGGTTAATTGTTAAAAAATCCGAGGCTCGTAGAAATGAAACAACTTTTCTGATTGGAAATATTTAGAGGATAATGAAGCTCGTTGATCTCAAGTTTTCAAATAAAAGCGTGTTTTTTTTACCTTTACCCTTTTTCCAACCTACTGCCAAAACGTAAGACAATTTTATTACAAATTTGAGATGAAGGAGCTTCATTATCGTTCAAAGAATTCCAATTGAAAAAATTATTTTTAAAATTTTTATTCCAGCTAAATAGAAGCTTGCTTTTAAAAATGTATTTTATTTTATTTATTTTTTACTTTTCAGTATTTATAGTTTCCAATTCCTAGTTTGGTGATTTCTATATATACTAAGTGACATATAAATCCGAACACCCAGTTTAAATGGTTTTATTTTAATAAAAGTTGGTGAATGTATTTATCTTACTGTAAATAACAAGTGAAAAAATTTTCAGCCTTATCAGTTGGACATTCCAGTTCTTATACTGCTTTTTTTTAATTCACTAACGCTCTAAAAATGAATATTCAGCCGCAGTAAAGAATCAACGTTGGCGGATTTTGATTCTTGACATCCTTTACGATCGGTTACGATGCCTAGAGTACGGAGACCTGTACGATTTCGTCAACTTAGTGAGTTTGATAGGGGCCGTATAGTGGCACTTCGGGAAGCTGGACTTTCTTTTCGGGCAATTGCAGTTAGAGTGCAAAGAAGTGTAGACACTGTGGTTAAGTGTTGTCAGGCATGGCTTCGAGAAGGCCGTACGCAAAGAGCAAGGGGCACGGGACGCCGCCGTAGAACAACAGACCGTGAAGATCGCCGCCTAAGATTATTGGCCTTAAGGGACCGTTTCTCCACTACCAGGTCCATTGCAAATGATTGGTTTGCAGAACACGGAAGACCTATTGGCATGCGAAGTGTTTACCGACGAATGAGAAGTTTTGGCTTGTTTTCATACCGGCCACACTGGGTCCTCCCTTTAACTCGAGAACACCGACGTAATCGCCTTGAGTGGTGCAGACAACGATCACTCAGGGATCAGGAATGGAACAGTCTTTAGTGACGAGTCTCGATTTTGTTCAGGCATTCACGATGGTCGTGCCAGGGTTAGAAGGCGACGTGGTGAAAGGAGGAATCCACAGTTTTTTGTTGAAAGACACGTTCATCACACTGCTGGAGTTATGGTTTGGGGTGCTATAGCTTATGGTTCCAGGTCACCTTTAATCTTCATCAGAGGTAACATGAACGCGCAGCGATAAATTCCACGAAGTTCTAGAACCCCATCTTTTACCCTATCTTGACACCCTGGCAGATCCAACTTTCCAACAAGATAATGCCCGACCACATGTTGCAAGAGTCACAATAGACTTCTTTCAACATAATGATGTCACATTGTTACCATGGCCACCAAGATCTCCCGACTTATCCCCAGTTGAGCACGTGTGGGATATGATGGGTAGGAGATTGCTCAATTTGCAACGTCCTCCTCAGACTCTAGAAGCACTTCGAGAGGAGTTGGTGGTTGCCTGGAATGAGATACCACAGGAGGACATTGACCACCTGATCAGAAGCATGCCTAGGCGCATTGGAGAATGCGTAGCACATCATGCATCCACACATGATTAAAGGTCAAAGTGCTTTAAAGCAGTGTAATCATTTTGAAATTTTTATCATTTACTTATTATGCTTCATTAAGTACCTATACAAAATTTTATTAAAATAAAACCATTTAAACTGGGTGTTCGGATTTATATGCCACTTAGTATACTTTCATATACTATATTTTACTACTACGACACCATCAAGCTTCTTGCTTTATTTATATTATAAAAGTTCGATAGATATATCATAAAATGATAAATCAGAATGGCATCGTGTTGCTTGTTATGTTTCTCTTATAAAGCCCTTTATCTATTCCCGAGGGGTGACTATGATAATTATAAACGTCATCACTATATTGGATTTAGAATGACGTCACATTGCTTATTGTATTTCTTTCATCAAGTCCTTTCAGTTGAAACCCATATTATGGGAAATGGAAATGATGAATCGCCATTTTATAGAATCAGCAATATTGAACTCAGTATGGCGGCAGTTAATTCATTTTATATTGTCAGGCAAACCAAAACTGCTTACAAAGTTTCAGCTCAATTTGTTCAAAATTCAGTTCCAATATTTGTCCCACACGTACATACATACCTACTAAAAATACAAGCACGTCAAGCTTGTAAAGTACATATAAAGAAGATGCGACAGGCAGTATGGTTTTCGGAACCAGCAATCAACGAGAGACTTCCTAGCTTACAACTGTGACTTAAATTTATCCAGTCATATGGTGAAGCTGATATCGTTGCTCTTGATACCACAGAAGATTTCGATCAGTCGCTGCATGCGAACTTCCATCCTGTGGCCTCCCAGAGAAGCTTGATGAATGAGTGGGTGTGGGTGATTTCCTTTACCGCCGCCAGATGTCTCTCCTCTTCACACAATGTCATCGCGGCTGTTCCCCAGGGATCGGTTCTGACTCCAACATTGTTTCTGTTAAGTTCTAACGACCTCCTCTCCTGTACAATCAATCCAATCCACAGCACTCTATATGCAGGAATTTAAAGGGCCAACATTGTTTCTGTTAAGTGTTAACGACCTCCTCTCCTGTACGTTAGCGAATTAAAAAAAAGCAGTATAAAAACCGGAATGTCCAACTGATAAGGCTGAACATTTTTTCACTTGTTATTTACAGTAAGATAAATACATTCACCAACTTTCATTAAAATAAAACCATTTAAACTGGGTGTTCGGATTTATATGTCACTTAGTATATTTAGAGGCTAATGAAGCTCGTTGATCTCAAGTTTTCAAATAAAAGCGTGTTTCATTCACCCTTTTCCATCCTGCTGTCAAAACGTAACACAATTTTATTTAAAAACTTGAGATGAAGGAGCTTCATTATCATTCAAAGAATTCCAATTGAAAAAATTATTTTAAAAATTTTTATTCCAGCTAAACAGAAGCTTGTTTTTAAAGATGTACATATTTTATTTTATTTATTTTTTACTTTTCAGTATTTATGGTTTCCAATTCCTAGTTTGGTCATCTCTATATAACTTTCATATATTTTAGTACTACGACACCATCAAGCTTCTTGCTTTATTTATATTATAAAATTTCGATAGATATATTATAAAATGATAAATCAGAATGACATCGCGTTGCTTGTTATGTTTCTCTTATAAAGCCCTTTATCTATTCCTAGGGTCGACTATGATAATTATAAACGTCATCACTATATTGGATTTAGAATGACGTCACATTGCTTATTGTATACTAAGTGACATATAGATCCGAACACCCAGTTTAAATGGTTTTATTTTAATAAAATTTTGTATAAGTACTTAATGAAGCATAATAAGTAAATGATAAAAATTTCAAAATGATTGCACTGCTTTAAAGCCCTTTGACCTTTAATAATGTGTGGATGCACCCTGATCTGCTACGCATTCTCCAACGCGCCTAGGCATGCTTCTGATCAGCTGGTCAATGTCCTCCTGTGGTATCTCATTCCAGGCAACCACCAACTCCTCTCGAAGTGCTTCTAGAGTCTGAGGAGGACGTTGCAAATTGAGCAATCTCCTACCCATCATATCCCACACGTGCTCAATTGGGGATAAGTCGTGAGATATTGGTGGCCATGGTAACAATGTGACATCATTATGTTGAAAGAAGTCTATTGTGACTCTTGCAACATGTGGTCGGGCATTATCTTGTTGGAAAGTTGGATCTGCCAGGGTGTCAAGATAGGGTAAAAGATGGGGTTCTAGAACTTCGTGGATATAACGCTGCGCGTTCATGTTACCTCTGATGAAGATTAAAGGTGACCTGGAACCATAAGCTATAGCACCCCAAACCATAACTCCAACAGTGTGATGAACATGTCTTTCAACAAAAAACTGTGGATTCCTCCTTTCACCACGTCGCCCTCTAACCCTGGCACGACCATCGTGCATGCCTAAACAAAATCGAGACTCGTCACTAAAGACAATATTGTTCCATTCCTGATCCCAGAGTGACCGTTGTCTGCACCACTCAAGGCGATTACGTCGGTGTTCTCGAGTTAAAGGGAGGACCCAGTGTGGCCGGTATGAAAACAAGCCAAAACTTCTCATTCGTCGGTAAACACTTCGCATGCCAATAGGTCTTCCGTGTTCTGCAAACCATTTATTTTCAATGGACCTGGTATTGGAGAAACGGTCCCTTAAGGCCAATAATCTTAGGCGGCGATCTTCACGGTCTGCTGTTCTACGGCGGCGTCCAGTGCCCCTTGCTCTTTGCGTACGGCCTTCTCGAAGC